GAATTATGTTAATAAATATACACATTACTAGAAAAAGTAAAAAATTATAATGAAAAAGTCTTATCAGAAAATTTTATCACGGGTCATATTTCGACTTTTTTTGGTTATTTTTGTTGATATATTAACAAAAGAAAACAATATGTTCGAATATATGTATAAAACAACCAAAACCCTCAGGATTACGGCCACGCCAATAGACCGATTGTCATGTGGATAACGGTGTAATTTCAACTTATAGAATATTGCATCGCTTTAAAGACTGCTAAAGTTTATTTGAGACGATTATTGCATGACTTTACATTTTATTTCATTTGTGTTGGAGCTTTTTTTTAAGCCGAGGCGGATTTACAAATCCAACCGTGCAAACAATACGCATTTGCACCTCCTACATTGAACGAGAAAAAAAAATTTGTCTGGTGTGTTATCTTTAATAAAGAAGAAAGAGCTGTGAAAGAAAAAAGTATTTTTAAAGTAATGTTCAAATGCAAACGATTTTAACACATATGATGGGTAAGGTAAACATGATTTCGCCCACGTACCCACGCTGGTACATGCCTGATGTTACAATCACACTATTGATAATGCATTATTATTTGGATGCATGTATGATGAATGGTTCCAAAGAGTAGTGAGTATAGTGGATAGAACAATAATAATGAAAAACAAAAAAAGATGTAAAAATATAATGAATGTAATGAATATACTAAACGAATAGAATCCAATACAAGAAGTGTCAACGCATCCAATAACATACAAAAGTAATCACGATTTAATGGCTCAATAACGTCCATTGCTACAGACCACGACGTGCCGCAAAACAATTTATTAGCATCGACAGTCAATAAATTTAAAGTAACCGAATCGATCTGCGTGGTTATACGCTTATTTTACATCATATACATAACCCCTTCTGATGCATAAATTTTTTTGAAGAAATTTATAATAGCCATTATTTATTTGTTTTTTTTTTGTTATGGTAATTAACGGATAAATTTATATGGTACATGATGTAAATTGATAATTTGTTTTGGTGTAAACCAAAATGAGCATAAATGATTATATTGAGTTAAACTATGTAATCACCGCAGTGGTAGCGTTATCCTTTATCAAGGAGAAACCAGAAATTAAATTATGGGTCTTTAGCAATACAGCAATCAGTCTGTTTAGTTGATTATGTAAGCAAAAGTGGTAGCTATAGGTTTGATGGACATGCGAGTAGCCAATATGACTCGCAAATGACATCAAACGTATAAAATCCTCGAATTTATTGTTTGATGTAAGTGTAGCTAAGCGTCACAGACGATAGGATATATGTTCAACCATTTGTAAATGTCAAACAACGAAATAGTACGGAGACAGTATTATGTTATCTGATCAATCTGTGGTAACGATGAATTAGGTGCCGGTTCAATTAGTGTCAACGTGAAAGCAATCCAAGGTAATTTCATTTGCAAAAATTCAAATTGTGAATTGTATGCCTCATAACGTAAAGGTCAAACTATTTTCCTAATTTCATCTTGAACCGCGTATGAGCGTTATGTTTTTTATCTTAATAAAGAATGCCACAAAATATTCAAAATTAGATTGAAGTCATCAGTTTCATTACACTCAAGTAGGTGAATGCTTAAAATATGTGTATTGAATCATCTTTTGTATCATTTTTCGAAGTTTCTTTTTTTCAATTTTAATTAAAAAATCTATAAAACAATTCATTTTTCCTATTAAAAACTGAGTGAACGTTATAAGACGCATCCTTTTCAATTTTTCAAACTTTTTTTGTCTTAAAAAAAAATTTATTCGGTAAAAATAATTAAAATTCGAAAAATATTTACTATAATTTACACCGCCTGTTAAAGTCAATACAACTCGAACCAACCAATCATTTATTACTAGTGTACTGAGTAATCGATTATAATAAACTTTGATACTAAATTTTTTATGATCATGCAGATTTTATATTCAATTTTACAATGCTGGTCGTTTATTGTTCCTTAATAACAGCCGAAGTATGACGGGGACACTTTCTAAGTACGCGTCAAAAGCACCGCATATTTTTTTATTTTCTTACCTTTTCTATGCATAGGACGGTTAGCCGTCTTAGTCGACGACAAGGTGTGACCACAAATTCTCATGGCATCCGCGCTATGATTTATAGCTCAGAGAACAACCAAGTAAACGAGAGAATTACAAGAGCAGAATACAGATAAAGAGAAAAAGAGAGAGGCATAGGTTGAACCATGCTTTGCTAACGTGAACAATATAAGAGCATTCGCATTCGTGCGTTTACAATTGCGTGAACGTGAGGGTTTGTCATAGCTAACGTATAAAATGACCGGTATTGAATATAACTGGCTGATGAATAAGTTGGATATGAAAAAAAGACGAATTATGAAAACAAAATAATAATCACAATAATAATGTGTACCGCGGACAGCAAAATGAGAATGAAGGAATTTTTATTTCGTTAAGACCATGGCTTGCAAACAATATCGAAGGTGCTTTTACGCTTGTAATATTTACCAGATTGGCTCCAACCGTCATAGTCATAAATAATAACAAAAGTTTTTATTACCAATAATACTTTACATGCGCAATCGACTTGGTGGGCGACGTTTTTACTTCTACATCCACTTTTCCTTGACCATACTATACGTAAATTTGTATTCAGACTCCACGGGAATCTTACAACGGAGAAACGAATTTCGATGTCAAGATTTTTTATTTACTTTTATTTTATTTTTTGCTTCTCTTAGTTTGCAGAGAAAAATGAGAAAAATATTGAATCACTTTGTGAAATTTTATTTTATTTTTGTATCTTCTTGTGCATCGTGTATTGGTAAACAAATATTTGTAACTCTAAATATAATTTTATTTATTTTGTTTTTTTGAATTTCAACTTTTGTGACAGAAGTTGTATTCTTTTTTTATGGAATGTCAAGAATATTTCATTTTATTGATTTTTTTCCGATAAAATGGCTGTCTGATGCAAATTTGGGTAATTCAAATATGCATGCTTTAAACTCTCATTTTATGATGAAAATAATGAGTGGAATAATTAATAGTATATTGTGTGACTAGGGATGAAACAAAACGATTTCAGACCAGAGAAGTTGGCATCACTCGGTCTGAAATCGTGTTTCATCCCGCGTCACACATTATATTTTTCATATGTTACATTAAAAATGCTAGATTCAACGTCTGCAGCCAACCAGATCTAGATAATTTCAAACGACTAACGTACATACAATTTTACTATTAAACTTATTAAGGAAATTAAAAACTACAATTCAAGAAACTAATAGTTTATTTTTTATTAAACATTATTCGTAAATTAAATAGTTTTTTTTGTCCTCTGGGCGGAAAGTGGCAACTTTGGTCCCACTGCGCTAAACAAAGTTGCCGCTTTCCGCCTTCCTCGGACAAAAAAATATTATACAGCCTTTGGGAAGTAAAAAAGAAAACCTCAGATCAAATGTTTGTTGACCTCGGCTTCGCCTCGGCCAACAATTACATGTGATCTGAGGCTTTTCTTATTTTCCTTCCTAAGGGGTGTAATATACTATATATCGTCATTTGATATATTTTCATTCTTATTTGTACTTAGTAACAGAATTATAATATGTCAGTACAGTTGACGGTTAGAATGATAATTATAAAGGTATAAGATAAACAAAAGATTTTCTGATAGAATTTAAAATAAAGCTGCAACTTCATTTCGCGGGCAGAAAATCATCAGTTTCTGCTCCCCGGGAAGAAAATGATCGTTTTCTGTCCGGCAACAGTCGCATTGGTCCGAAATTGAGTAGTTTCGGTTGGCTCAACAGGCATTGAAACTCGCATTTTCAATGCAGGTTATATACAAAATTTATCGTAAAAAATAGATACTTTACTTGCGGAAAGAAAATCTGGAAAACGGTTGACCCTAAAAGCCATCCCTGCAACTTCTCGCTAATTCCATATCTAATCGCTTAAAATTGCACTTATGACGTTTTTGAGCTCTTCGAGCTCAAAAATAGGATTTCTATGTTATTTCGAGCTCTCCGAGCTCAAAGAGTTAGCTGTTCTAAGCTTTTGAGCTCTTTGTCTGATAGTCGTTTAATAAAACAGTATTTTTTGAATTTTCAAACCGCAATAACTTTTGAATGAATGAACCGATTTTCACACGGTTGGTAGTATTCCACGCAGTTTTTCAAATTCTATGATATACTTTTGAATACAAACTGATCGAACCGAAAATTTTAGAGAAATTTGAAAAATTTTCCGATTGAACCGATTTTCATGTTCTTGGTGGCGATCGACGTGGTTTTCTGGGCTCTAATAATTATTTTACCTCATCAAAAACGATCCGAAAAGAAATGTCGAAGTTATGTGAAAAAAAAACTTTTCGAAATTTTTCTTTTCTCGAAAGTTTTCGATAACTCTCGAACGAAGAATATGTGGTGAGGCTTTCGCCTATCTCCGAAGAGGCCGATATCTGGGCTCAAAAGAGCTATACTCGCACATAACTCTCGAACGAATCAACCGGTTTGACGGGACTGGCGGCAATCGACGTAGTTTTTCAAATTTAAGAGCGGATTAGTTTTTTGAATTGATCGGTCGAGCCGTTCAAAAGTTATAAGAGGTTTCACACACACATTATAAGAGGTCATTATATAGAGGTCGTTATAAGAAGTGTCACACACACACACACACACACACACACACACACACACACACACACACACACACACACACACACACACACACACACACATGCGCGCGCGCTGTTTTAAATGTCTTGGTTTTGGGCACCAAACACGCCAGTGTGCGAGACCAGACAGAAGCAGGTGCTGCTACAAATGTGGCGAAGAGAACCACAAGGCCGTAAACTGCAGAGAGAAGCCAAAATGTTTCCTTTGTGCTCCGGACAAAAATGCCTAAGATGGTCTATGCCATATTTCTGGCACTGGAGCTTGCAAGGCATTCCGCAAAGCACTTGCAGAAGCCACGAGAGGGCAGAAATGACACGCAGACTACAAGTAAACCTGAATAGGTGCGCCTTGGCGCAAAACCTGCTGCGCCAGCGTGTCTTTGAAGATAAAATTGACGTCTGCTATATCTGCGAGCAATATCTAATCATCGAAGGTAAAACATGGTTCGCAGACGAAACTGGCACGGCACCAATTTGGATTGTGAACACAAAGAACGTTACCGTCAACAACAGCGGAAGTGGAGCAGGTTGTGTCTGGATTCAAACCCCCACAACCTACCTCATGAGCGTCTATCTCTCACCTAACGAAGGGATTAGTGTGTTCCGACAAAAACTGGCAAATATAGAAGATGCGGTCACTCAATTTGACGGCGAAGTCATCGTAGCCGGAGACTTCAACGCTAAATCGGCTGAGTGGGGCGCTGCTTTCTCCGACACCAGAGGTAACGAGGTCGCTGACGTCGCGGCTAGACTCGACCTCATAGTGCTGAACACCGGGAGCACGACGACCTTTAGAAGACCAGGGTACCAAGAATCTATCCTCGACATTTCGTTGGCGACTCCAAGGATTGCCAACAAGATTGAAGACTGGACTGTATCCGAAGAAAACAGTGGCAGTGATCACCAGTTCGTGACATTAAACGTTGGATTGGCATCTGCTCCGGTTCCACAACGCGACCTTTCTAAGCGGAAGTGGAATGCCAAGAGGCTTAATCCAGAGGCATTGCGAGCTTCACTTGCACGAAGCTGGTCTATCCTTCAGAACAACCCGACTCCGGATACCTGCAGCGAGACGGAAAAGGCAGTGCTAAATACGATGAAGGAGATTGCTGCCGCATGTGACGCCTCTATGCCGCGGCTGAAAAATCAGAGTTTCCACAGGCCAGCGTACTGGTGGTCAACAAACATAGCCGAACTTCGCAAAATATGCCATCAGCTACGTCGCCGCGCAACGAGAGCCGCAAAACGCTCCCCAAGCCAGGACGTATTCAAAAGAGTACAAGCAGTCCAAAAAGACGCTAAACCGAGCCATCAAAGCAAGAAAAGTGATGTTGTGGAAAGAGATCTGTAATGATCTCGACAAGGACATCTGGGGGAAAGCCTACAAAATTGTCCTCAAACGACTTGGAAAGGCTTCACCAGAAGCGCCAAAGTCTCCTGCCTTAATAGTCAGCATTATAGCGGAGCTTTTCCCCAAACACCTGCCGCGGGAGAAGAAACACTACGCAAAAAACAGCGAAGTAACACCCTTCACAACTAAGGAACTACAAGACGCGGCCAAGGCACTCAAAACAGGAACAGCACCTGATGGCATCCCGGCATCGGTGATCAAGATTGCAGCCCTGAAATACCCAGACATACTCTTGAACACCTACAACGCATGCTTGGCAACTGGCACGTTTCCCGCGGTCTGGAAGCGGCAGAGATTGGTAAGACAAAGGTTAGAGAACCCCCATAACACCTTCGTCGTTTAGACCACTCTGTATGCTAGACATTGCTGGAAAACTGCTCGAAAAGCTCATACAAGGGAGACTTCGCAACGACATAGACCGTGCTGGAGGTTTTGCCACCAACCAGCATGGCTTCCGGAAAGGTCGTTCAACAGTCGATGCGATTGAGAAAGTCATAAAGACAGCAACAAAAGCATGGTCTGGTAGCCTCAAAGCTCGTAAAGTTGTCACACGAATTTTATTCCTGTGTGCGTCCCTCCCTGCGCCTAGTGTTGGCAACAGATCCACACTCGGTGTCCCATAATTTTAATATTTTTATATAAATTTATATACTGCATATTCTTTATTATTATTATATTTGAAAAATTATATATTATGATTATTAGTTATTAAGTATTAATTTTGACATTTATTTCAGAAAATTGTACTGGAATATTTATAATTTGATTTACTTATTGCGTATTGATTATCGGTAAATGGTCGTAGCCCTTGCTCGCATGGGTAATTCCCTAAAGTATCGATTGCGAGCATAGGGATTGCTAATTTTGGTAAACGACTTGAGAGGCCCTCGTGATCGGACACGAGGTCTCGGGGGTTTTTGATAAAATAAAAATCGAGAGACACGCGGCAACCCGCAAAGTGTAAGAGTGTGGATCTGGCACCTTTGTCCGAGTTCCTTTTTTTCGGTGAGTACTCACAAGTTGAGCCATATTACTATCCACGCACCGTGTTGCCTCCTGGCGAATAGATTATTGTAAAAAAAAAAGCGTTATTAGAGTCAGCCAGTATTATTTATTTAAATTTTTATTATTTTTGTCGAGATAACCCGACGTAAATTAATAATATACTCAGGATTTATATTAATAATTAATAATTGTACGCGGAAAAATTATTATTATTGTTATTTTATATAGTTCACCCGGCGAAGGAATCCGGCTCTGGACTTAGCTTTAAGTATTTTGTGTTTTGAATAAATAGCTTATTATTTTATTAATATCGCGATTAATATAATAATAATTTAATATACGTAGTTTATTTCCTCCTTTCTTTCCTAATATTAGCATACTATTTGTCTTCCCCTGAATACCTGCAGATTGGCCCTGAAAATAAAGGGTTTGTTGTTTCCCTAAGTCAAAGAACAACTGGCGTCCATAAACCGTGCACTAACCCAGCCTGAGGAGGAGCTGTTGGTTGCTTGGGAGGCGAAGAGTTCCCTCCCAAGTCATTTTTTTTTGTTTATTTGATTATCTTGTTTGATTTGTTGGACGACCTGGACTGAATTACGGATCCACTGATCACTCCACTGTCAGTGGAGACGTAATTTTTGTTACAAAGTATGCCTTCTCCTCACGCTAGATGTCAAAAACGCATTTAACAGCGCAAACTGGGGAGACATTTTAGACGCTCAGGAGCACAAGTTTGACGCGGAGCCAAAGAATCTGGCACTAGTCAACAACTACCTTGACGATAGAAAGCTAATAGTGGAAACTACTGAAGGCCCACAAGAATACGCTATAACGGCTGGCGTGCCGCAAGGCTCAATAATTGGGCCCGATCTATGGAACGCAGACTACGACGAGCTTCTTGAAATCCCGTTGCCAGAGCAAGTAGAGCTAACAGGCTTTGCAGACGACATTGCGGCCACTATAGTGGTAGACAGCGTAGAAGAGAGCGAACTGCTAGTTCGGGAAACCATTGAAGCTGTCGAGACTTGGCTTGATAAGCATCACCTGATACTCGCCAAACAGAAAACCGAGATGGTCGTTTTGACACGTCAAAAATGGTTCTCAAAACAATTCGCTGTGGACATGGGAGGAACAACACTGACGTCAACAAGGGCCCTGCGCTATCTAGGGGTAATGATAGACGAGAAACTATCTTTCCGTGAACACCTCGACAGTGCATGCAAGAAAGCCAGCAAGACGGTGTCTAGCCTAGCACGAATTATGACCAACACCATGGGACCAAGAACAAAAAAGAGAAGAGTTCTTCTAGAAGCAGTCCACTCGGTACTGCTTTATGGAGCGGAGATATGGGCAGACATATTAAATCAGAAGGCCTACCGGCGAAAGATAGCAGCAGTATAGCGGCGAGGCGCTCTTAGGGTTGCCTGCGCCTACCGCTCAGTTTCCGAAGCGGCTGTATTGGTCATTGCGGGAGCCACGCCCATCAACCTATTAGCGTTCGAAAGAGCAAAACTCTATGACGCTAAAAATAGTGACGAAAACATGAAGGACGCAAGATCGACGATAAAGGCGGAAACGCAGCAAGAGTGACAGGACCGATGGACATCGGGAGAAACGGGCAGATAAACGGTGCGCCTGATCCCAAACATCAACGTCTGGCTTTCTCGGAAACACGGGGACACGGACTTCTTCCTGACTCAGCTATTGACGGGACATGGGCAGTTCAATACCTATCTTTTCAAGATAGGTTTGCACAGCACACCAACGTGCAAATACTGCCCAGAAAAAATTGACAACGTTGAGCACACGTTTTTTGAGTGTGATCAGTGGAAGGACGACAAAATCAGCACCGAAGAAACAATAGGCACCACGCTCTCCCCTGAGGCATATCAAGCTAGCAGTGGCAGAGCCCATCTTGGACGGTCATTATTATTAATTTCTCGGAATCTAAACAAGTGACAATATTCTAAATAGAGCAACTAATTAGCAACAAAAAAGCAACAAATTTAGCACCACAAATAAATTTTGTTGCTTGAATAATAAGTCAATGCCTGATGGATGAGTCCATGCTAGCTTGATAGACCTTCTCCCCTGAGAGCTTGGTAACCTGCATGATCAAAAAAGAAGAAAACTGGTCAGCTTACGCGCAGCGCCTTTTAGAAGAAAAAATCGCAGAAAGAGATGAGAAACCAGTAGTAACAAGAAGTAGGTGTCGTGAGACACAACATGGACTGGATTGAAGTAATGCTAACGCGGTCCCGATCCAGTCTTCCCTGTAACATCTATGGGGAAAGGAGAGAGGAGGGTGTTTAGTCGATATTGTTGCAAAATAATATTGACTTCTCAGTCCGACATACCCAGGCAAACACCTAGTCCTGGCACCAACACCAAGTCCTGGCATACATTTACATGTATTTTGCCTCCTCTATAAAAAAAAAAAAAAAAAAAAAAAAAAACACACACACACACACACACACACATACAGCCGCACGGCCACTATCGCGGGAATAGTCAGGGAAGCTTCATGTGACCTTAAAACGTCGAGATCTGATGAAAACTCGATTTTCGCAAAACGGGCCGAAACCAATAACTTCCCGATTTTTGAAAATTTTCAATTTTTTTAACGGGAAGTTAAAAATACTAAAATGCATTGCTGTTTAACAAGTATCGTAAAAGTAGAATGAATTTCTTTTTTGCAATGAAATTACAATTACTATAAATATAAAAAAAAATGAAACTTCAGTTAAAATTTGGATTCCATTCGGGATTCGAACAAATTTTCTTTCTTCTTTACTTTCAATAAACGCCAAGTGTGGTGAGTATTGATTCGTAACGATGCTTTTGAGATCAAACATGAGGCATGGGAAAAAAAGAATGAAGGACAAAAAATTGGATTGTGCGAACTGTTATACTATAGTACACTTGAAAGAGTGCTTCAAGACTCACTCTGACATGCTTTTATAGCAACGCGAAATATAGAAAGAATGTCTTATTGAGGTTTTACTTTTCTCCGTAGAGAATACAATCTTCTCAAGAATCCTCGAAGAATCAAATACTTTTCGAATGTCAATGCTACAAAATAATCGACAGTTCCCTTAAATGTTAAGATTTAAAGTAAAAATAACTCGAACAAAAAAAATAAAGTTAAATGAGGTAAGTTGGAGTTTAATTTTCACAAAATTGAAGGCGAGTAATCTCATGGTAGATAACTTCTTGCTTTCTCAGCCCTTTGTATATTCAACGATTCGTGGTAATGAAAATACTCTCTTGAAGACGCGCCATGGAGGCAAACATTGCGCAAAAGTAGATGTAAAACAAGATCCGGCTTCGGGTGTGTTTGCATTTACGAGACGGATAGACCTAAAATCAGTTCAGAGAGTGTAAAGATATTATTTACATATACAACATATCTATAAAAATCAGCTCAAGACATTTGCCTGAGCGATTTAGGACGGAATTCTTATCGCCTTGAAATTGAAAAAATAATATAAAATCTTATTACAAACTTGGAATACTTATGTAGTTTTGTCCTTCTTCAGGGAACGCATGTCCATGACATAATTTTCTTATATGGCCTGATATGTTCATATATAACTTTGCGTGTCTTAATATTCCCATGAGAGTGTCCGTTATTTACCAAGTTTGTTTTAGGTAGATTTCGTAGAAATCTATCTATTGCATTGGCTCTTGTGTCGGAATTCTGTCATTTTATTCCGTCACACGGAAGTTTGTCATTTTATCTTTTATTTAGTCGAGTAAGGCTCAAAATTAGCATTGGTTCGAAAATTTATATACTTATGTATGGGGTATTCCATGCCAAATCGACCACTTTTGAACCCGACCCCTTTAGATTTAGCTGAAACTTTACTATTCTTTTCTACCCTTTGAGACATTTTTGAGAATTTTTTCAAATTTTTTTATCCAACCCAAAAAAA